ATGCAGATAACACCATATTATTTTGTTCAGGAGACATAACATCAGTGATTAAGATGATGACAATGCTTAGAGATTATGAAAAGGTTTCTGGTCAAATGATAAACAAGGCTAAGAGTTCTTTCTATCTCCATGACAAGACCCCACTAATAGTAGCTATCCGGATGAGAAAACTGACCGAAATAAGACAAGGAAATTTCCCTTTCACTTACTTGGGGTGCCTTGTGTTTTATGGAAGAAAGGTCAATAACTACTTCAAAGAGTTTGTAAGGAAAGCTCCTTAATGTGGTAGAATAGACTCTTATCCTTTGGAGGTAAATACATTTTGATTAGTCATGTTCTTTAATCATTACCTGTGTACCTTCTCTCTACTATGAATCTCCTCAAGAAGGTGATCGAATAGTTGCATCATATTTTTGTAAGGTTTTTTTAGGGAAATACTGGCCAGACTAAGGGTAAACATTGGGTGTCATGGGATGACATGTGTTTTCCTAAGGCAGAAGGAGACTTGGAATTTCGATACATGATGTTAATAATGCCCTTTTTGCTAAATTAAGGTGGAAGTTCAGGGTATCTACGTCTTTATGGAGTAACTACATGTCCAATAAATACTGTAAAAAACTTCACCCTACAGTAGTTAGGAATTCAGGTTCCTCTCATGTTTGGAGGAAATTATTGAAAGTAAGAGAAGCGGTGGAGCATGACATTTGGTGGCAATTAAAAGCAGGGAACTCGAGTTTTTGGTATGACAACTGGACAAAACAAGGAGCACTACTTTTCACAGAAGAAGAAACAGCGAGAGAGCAGGAAATAGAGGTGAAGGAATATATGGATAATGGAAGCTGGAAGATGGAGAAACTACAAGAACATGTTTCAGAGGAAATGCTAGATCACATCGTGAAGAACATCCAGCCTAACACTGATGCCCTAAATGATAAGCCATGGTGGATGGGGAATTCAACCGGAGTTTTTTCTGTCAAGTCAGCCTATCACATTTTAAGGAAGAAAAGGGAATCTTTAGAATGGATGAGCGACATTTAGTTGTTTCGCCCGTCAAGGAGAATGAGAACAAGCTCAGTCCGATTTCTTCTTCGAAGATACCTAGTAGCTTGTAAGCTAAACATACCCATATAAAGTCTTTAAGATGTTCATTCTGATTTTCAAGAGATAGATCATCGAATAAACCCTTCATATCCAGTAAATGCAACATCGTGCTGCTGATGTTGAAAGTAGCATTTTCCATCATGGTGGAGGTCTAACGGCCCCATCATGGCCCATTTGAAAAGTAGCCTCAGCTACTAACTCATGATCTTGTTTGTCACCCATTTCAAAGTTCAACATTTATCGCCTGAATGTTCTTTCTACTTTGGGATCAAGGGAGATTCATGGCTTTTAGTATAAACCATAAATTGTGTAAAATCCTACAATGCACAAAAATAACAATCAATGTAATTTAAAAAAATAAATGTTTTCTAATGAATTTCTACAAGTTATAAGACTCTAAACTGCACTCTCTCACAACAGAGTCAGAATTTTAATATTACCCAAATTACACTTTTTATGGAGTTAAAAAGACCGATGCAAAATACATTAACCTAAATAGGTTAAGGTCAAATTCCAAAAAGAGTATACTAGAGTTTACTTATAATTTGCTATTGAGATTCAAGAAAGTAACTATTTTGAGAGAATTAGGGGTTTGTAATTATGACTAATTAACTAACTATTTAGTTTTTATCAATAAAGAAGATGAACTAGGGTTACAGTTCTTAGATATCAAAACTCTAATTGATGTTTTACTATCCATTCATTTAGGTGTGTTCATTATGCAAAACAGAAGAATCTATCAGTCTTATAAAGCCTCTTGTCCCAATTAAGAGAATATCGCCCTAAGTCTTTCTCAGACACTTGCTTGTCGAATTAATTTGTTCATTCGCCAAAATTCCCACGTTAACTATCTTATCTCGGTCTCAAATTATTAGATGGTGGTTGGTAATATTGAATCTATGTTATTGAACATTTTTATCTAATATGTACCTCTATGGTCAAACACGTCAGAATATTGATGATTTTCTTTATTAATGATTGTCAATCATATTTTAAGAAATTGTTAAGTATGAAAGGATCTTAATACACAATGATCACCTCGTTATGACTATATATTTTATTATACGACATTAATCATCATCATCCCTAATCTAAGTTTCATAACCTTAGTTATGAATTTATCTACTCATAACTAGTGTAAAATAATAAATAGAATAAATTAAACTACTAGAATTCATGAGTATAAAAAAGAATAAAAGAAACATTTGATTAAAACAACATTTGCAACCGAATCTTATTCTTTCCACAATAATTGTATTACTTATAAAACAAATCCTAAAAACTAAGAACAATAAGCTCTATTCTATAATTCTAAGTCCTAATAGTTATTCTAAATTTATTCCCCTTAAAAACGTCACACACACTGGCACGCACACACACAAGGAAAAAATATAATCTCGATTGGACTTTGCATTGAATGGGTCAGACCCAATTGGACAGACAAGGGGGTCGTGATGTGAGAGGCATTGTGAGGAGCCTAGCCCCGTGTTCTAAATTTTCCCTCTTTTTATTGCTTCTCTGAAGTTAAGTTCACAAAAGATGCAGCGTGAGACTCATCTCATGGTCTATTCTAGAGCTATTTTTCCTCCATTTTAGTCTGATTTACTTCGGCTTATGTTTCAATCCATCATATAGGTCTTTTCTTGCTGTCATTGACCTCAAATCAACCTAATTATCCCCATTAGCTAATAAAATCATATCATTAATAAACACAAGGATATTCACAAAAGTATACTAGAAACTAAGCTAAAATATGAATAAAGTATGGTGCTTGAATACGTCAATACACCCCAGATCATTGCCATTAATTTATTAGTAGTGATATAGTAGATGATAAAATATATAGAGTTTCGTTTATGGTGCTTGTTTACTTATACAGTAGATGATTTAGTGTATAGAGTTTAAGCTTATACACAAAGGATTAAATCATCGATTCTTATAAGTATAAAGTTTTTTTGTTCACAATATAAGATGGAAATTGGACATGTCATCGGTACGATTGTAGCACAAGATTATATGTAGTTTATCTTGATTATGGGAATGGTATAGTTCCAACTTCTTGTGCTAGTGCATTTTGTATGTATTGAACGGGACCGAGAGAGATAGTTGTTTTAGACTGACTGACAAAAGCAATTCTCTAAACTATTAAATGTACTTATAGTCTTAATCTTGATATAACTATTATGATCTGTATATGTTAATCATCGTTTTGATTTATTAAAAGGTGAGATTCTAAGATGGGTCAATATTCTTGGTAGATTGGATGATGATAATATATATTGGAGAAATAATAAGTTAGTTGATGGAATCCATGTCTCGATATAGAGATTGATGATATGCCTTTTTGAGAAGCTTAAAAGTTTTCATCGTGTCAAACCTTGCAAGTGGATTTAAGAATCTGACACATGAAATAAGTTAAGCAATGCTCTAAAGGAAATTGATCATTGAATTAAGTTCGTCAATAATTTAATTTATTGATTAGTATCTGTAATCTTAACATTGGGAATTACATATGTGTCTAATGGGGAATTTCGAAATATAAATAGAGGAGTGCAATTACAAATTTCTAGTGGAATGATTTGTAATATAAATTCAAATTAATTATGGTAAGAATAATTCAAATTAATTATTTGGAATTATTTTCATAATAGGAGGCCTCGGTAATTAATTTTGTGGTCCCTACCGTACCCATATTTATCTAGAACTCAGAATTTATTGTAAAGGGAAAAATGAGAAGTATGTGTCTTTCTCTATTCTAAGGAAAGGGAGAAGTATGTATCTTTCTATGTTCTAAGGCAAGGGAGAAGTATATCACTTTTTCTATTTTAAGGAAAGGAAGAAGGACATGACTTTTTCTTTTCTAAGGAAAGAGAGATGTACATGTCTTTCTATTCTAAGGAAAGACATGGTATTCCTTTTCCTTGGACTAAGAAGAAATCTCTATAAATAGGGATTCTTCTAACCCTTGAAGAAAAATGTTTTTTTCCATAAAATACTTGTCCACCCAAGTATTGAGAGGGTTCGGAAGTGAACTTAGGATCACTGTAGAAGACCGTAGAACTGTGGTCTAGTTTGTGGACTAGCTTATGAATTTGCTTGAAGTTTCTAGCATGTCGACTAGCTTGTGGATTCACTTGAAGGTATCGGTTCACGCTTCAAGAGGTAATTCTGAAATTAAATTCAGAAAGTTTATATGCCCTAACATGATTGTACTTGTTCTAGTATAAACAATGTGTTGTCTATTATTCATGTAAGTTGTATGATTATGGAATGATTCCGCTGTGCATATAGTTTTCCATCACATAATCTAAGAAAAAAATTGGACAAGTCATTGATATGATGTAGTACAAGATTAAATATAATTTGTTTTGATTATGAAAACAATATAGTTCCAAATCATAAATATACTCTTTAATAATTACTAAAATAAAATTTTAATTACAATATTATTTTGTATTAAATTATATTTATTTATTTTGTCTTATATTTATCATATTTAGAGAGTTGAAACAGAGTGTACTTTAATTTTTTTTTTAAATAATAATTTTTATTATTTTTTTCTCAATTTATATGATTTAAATTTTCTTAATTAATTATATAAAAAAAAAAGACACATTACTGAATTAGATAACAAAAGTTCTAACTTTGTATAAGTCGAACTTTACGGTGTTACGGAAATAGTATTTACTAATGATGTTGATGGACAAACGGGTTCAGTAGACGACCACTCATCTTGGATTTTGCATTATTATTAGGAGAATAGTCATGGATAGGCCGCGTTTGCCCCAATAGATACACTCTATGCTACCGCCGATTCACATGTATTTCTTCCAATCTTATCTAGCAGCCTCGACCGTTTTTCTCCAATTTCAGAGAGACTTAAAATTGGCGAATCTTATATGGCTGGGAAAGTTATGCATGTTGTTCAATACGACTCTTATGGCAGCGGAGCCGCGGGATTGAAGGTATTTTCACCTTTCGCTTTGCAAAACAACTTGCTTCCCTTTTTTTGTTCTTTATTTCATATCATTCTTTGGGACGTCATTGCGGAGAGAGCTTATTGTAATTGGTTCATTTCTCATTAGAAGAAAATTGCAGAAATAGTTGTTTGAAGATCAGTCTCTCTAACCTATTTTAGTGGCCGTTTCCCATTGTACTGTTGAATCATACGTATGTCATTAGAAATCAGAATTCTTCTATTGTATTCTTCAAACTGAAATACTATATAAAATTGGCTGGAGGCTTGAATTTATCTGATGTCATGAAAAATAATACTAATTTGATCATTTAACTAGCAATACGAAACTTTTTTATTTTGGGGAGGGGTATGTGAAGGTCACAATTAGGACATAGTTGATAAGCGAAGATGATATTAGCCATGAATTAAAAATTATAAAATTTTAAGGAAAAATTACAGAAATCCCACTTTTAGTTTACTTATTACCATTATCCCCTATAAGTTTTGCAAATCTCCAAAATTCCTCATTTTCGCGCATCAGATTAATGTATCAACGCTTATATTATTGTATCTCGCGCATCAGATTAGTGTATCATGTATAAAATGTAATGTATCTTACTTAGCGATTAATGTATCTCGCGCATCAGATTAATGTATCAACGCTTATATTATTGTATCCGTTTGAGGAATTTCTGTAATTATAAACTTTTAAGGAATATATTGTAATTTTGCCTTAAAAGTATGTCATTTTACCCTCTCTTTTTTTTACCGTGGTCTAATTCACAGGATACTGACACCTCCTACCAACCATTTTCTTGTTTGGAAATTAAGCATTTGCTTCAAATGTTTAGATAATATAGTTTTGGGAAAAGGTGGTTAAAAATACCCCTTATTGGTTGACTATGTCCTTATCATTAAAATGAAGTTATTCTTACCCACCCCGTTACTAATTTCATCATTTGTGCCCCTCAATTGGATGAAAAGCTCCAAATCAACAAAAATTACCCAATTTTAACCCAACCCGACCCACTTAATCATAAAACTCATTTCTTTTACCCAAATCAACTTTGTTTTCCACCACCAACACCTCCACTTAAACCACCACAAAAGCGACCACCAGCACCTCCACTTAAACCACCACAAAAGTGACCACTTATGCCATTATGGTCCATTAAGAGGTTGACCAAGTCAAAAACAAGAATAACCAAGTCTATTTTCTGCTTCACTTGTATATAGTTGAACATCATAATGTGAAGGTACAAGAGTTAACGGAAAAGGCATAAGTCTTAAAAGCTCTTGATTTTCCAGCTTACCATAATTCTTAAGCAGATAAAAAAGCAATGAGAAAAGAAATAGGATTATGGTAATTGGCAGTTTGGTAAAGCTGGAAGAAATCTCTATAACAAATGTTACTAGTATCTCTTAGATGATAGTGATCCCTTCCGAGCAATTTGAGATACAACTTTTCATTTGAATGTGTTTGTTTACACGTCTCTATCCTGGTAAAACAGTATAATCAACTACTTCTGTGCCTCAACACTAAACTAGTTGAAGTTTCCCATGTGAGACATCTGCTGCTATTCTACTCACACAGTTAAATCACTCCTCTGTAAATATCAGCTCTCTCTTTTATCAAGTTAAGGTGTAACAGGCTACTCATATGCTGAACTTCTACTGTTGCTAAGGCAGTCATTAGGAAATAGTAAAGTTTGGCTAGTTTTTGGCTTAAAACATCCTTTAAGTATGACAACACATTAAAGTACATCCTCAGAATACTTTTGTGAACAAAAAACATCCTTCTTGTTTGCTAAATTAAACAATTTTCACCCCGCTGTTACTCAACACCTACTAAACTAATGGAACCAAATATTCCCGTGAGACCCACATGACTTCGTAAGCCTCCCCAAAACTTTTCTTCTTCTTTTGTTGTTTGATTGTTGCCATTGGAAATAAACAGATCCAGCCCAGACTCCCTCCCAAATTAAGAAACTTTCACTTTCTTTATTTGGAGGTAGAAGCTTTCCTAAGAACCCTTCAAGAACAACATTGAGAAAGACTACATATATTATCTAAAAACCAGTAAGTATGAGCTTAATAGTACTGTTTAATAACATAAACCAGAAGGGAGATGTAGCTTATGAAAGATTTTGAATTTTTTCTAGTCTTTTCCAATGTACCACAAAAAAATAATAGAAGGAAGGTTGATGTTACAAAGCCAAACCTTAAGGTAGGTCTCTGAAAATGTGTCATAACTACAATTTAATTTTGAAAAGTCTTTCATGACATTTTTGTTTAGGTAGCGTGTCTTGTAGCGTTGAGAGTATCATTATTTCTAGAAGAGAGCTTGCTTGGAAATAACTTTTAAATTGAGCACTAGCAAGGTGCTAGCTTGGAAGTAAATTTTAAATTGAGCGTTAGTTTGAGGAAAAAGAAGATAAAGAAAAAAAAAAGAACAACTCCACAAATCATGGGAGGTCTTTCTCCTAGGTGATTACCCATATTTAAGTAATTATTATCCTCAAATTGGTCATCTGAGTAGAAAAACTTAGTGTAGTACATAAAATTTTTATTTAATGTTCAGTGAGTAAAGTGTTTCTTTGTGACCATTTGGTTTTGATTCTTAAACGTAAATATAGCTCTTGATTTTTACATTATGATTCCACGAAATTGAACTTTCAAAGACTTGTCTATGTCTGTAAAAGAGAAGAAGGCTTATACTATGTGATCAGATGGACGTTATTGCTTTTATTTAGGATACTGAAAATTTATGTTTGAGTTATTATTGCAGTTATTTGTCATATTATCTTGTGTTATTCCTTTTTGCTGTAATTTGTTTTAAACACTTCCGCTAATGAGGCTGCTCTATACTCAGTAGTAGAAACAGTTCTTCTAATATTAAAACCTTTTTGATTGTGTGCACGTCTTTGCTTTTTGCAGTATGTGGAAGTTCCTGTGCCTACTCCGAAGAAGGACGAGGTCTTGCTAAAACTGGAGGCAACAAACACAAATCCTATTGACTGGAAAATTCAGAAGGGCATGCTTCGTCCACTTCTTCCTACCAAGTTTCCTTTTATTCCTAGTAAGTTAAATCATCAATTACATCTAGACATTTTGTTAGAATTTCCTTGCGTGCTTTTTGGTTTTGGTTGCAGTCGCCTTGTGTTCCATGTTTTCAAAATGTTTTCCGCATCTGCCTTAGTATGAGGATCTCTGTCTAAGTATTCTCAAATACTGTATTATGTATACTACCTATCAAAATCATCTCCTTTGACAAGTTAATATAGTTTCTTCTTCTTGTTTCTTTTTCTAGACTCTAGGCTGATATAATAGAAAATTTCTTTTGGGTGGGGCATGGATATTCCTACATTGAGAAATTCTTTCTGGCTCTTTAGGTTATGCAAGGCTGACACACACATCTAGAATCCCTATTAACTTAGGGAACTGATAGAGTTGGTAAAAAGGAATATATAGAAGCTATTCTGCTATACTAATATAAATTTGTAAACTGGAATAGGAGATGGCATCAGTGTAAAGTATCTGAGAGATCGAGAATGGTAACATATCAAGGTGAATAATTTAATTGGCAAAGGATTTGTGGCCATAAAGTTGTTAGAAATGGAATTTAATTTGCTTGTGTGGCATTTAATGAGTGAGTGGATTTGAACTTGTTTTTTGAAAATTAAAAGGAACTTAAGTTTGAGACTACCAGTAAGATCAACTTCGCTCAATAACATCAACTGTTGTTAATGGTAATTTACTCAAATAGGAAGTTAATTAACAGACGAAGACATCAAGAGTTCAAGAAAGCTTGGCCATTATCTTTATGGAGTAATTGCCCAAATGCATTGTAATATGCATTTTATTCTTGTTGGTTTACGGTTCTCTAAACTGATTTTGGTTGTAACAGCTATCGACGTGGGAGGAGAGGTTGTAGAGGTAGGATCTAATGTAAAAAGTTTCAAGGCCGGTGACAAGGTTGTGGCTATGCTCAATGCCCTGGTTGGTCCAATTCTTTTCAAATATTTTATTTTCGCTACATCTCTCTTACATTTTGGAGCTTGGTTGAAACTTAATAGGTGAGGGACCTGCTCAGGGTTAGCATTCGTTTTCCATGGATGTTGTTTTTGTTTCTATTCGCTATCTGTATGGTTCAATGCTACTTAGTTTTGTTTTTAGCTTACTTTTGGGGGCCAAGTCTCCTCATTCAAACCCTCCTCTCCATGGGACTACAGTAGTTTTCCAACTGACTTGAATCCTAACCGTTTGGTTGGAAGTGGAGGCACCATGGGTAGAGCAACCTGCTCATCTTAACTTCGTAGTATTCCTCCTCATTAACTAAATCATTTTACTTTGAATAGTCATGTGGTAATATTGTGTTCTATACTTTACGATTGATGGATTTTCATGAGCTTTGATACAGAATGGAGGTGGATTGGCTGAATATGCGGTGGCTAATGAGAGTTTGACTGTTCCAAGACCTGCGGAAGTATCAACTGCAGAAGGTGCAGGTCTTACAGCTCTTCAGGCCCTTGTCAATCCTGCTGAGGTTAAGCTCGATGGAATTGGACCACGAAAGAACATTTTAGTTACGGCTGCCTCGGGTGGTGTCGGTCACTATGCTGTTCAATTGGCAAAACTTGGTAACACCCATGTTACTGCCACCTGTGGAGCGTGCAACATTGATTTTGTGAAGAGCTTAGGAGCAGATGAGGTTCTTGATTACAAGACCCCAGAGGGAGCAACGCTTAAGAGTCCATCAGGCCCAAAATATGATGCAGTGATTCACTACACAATAGGCATCCCTTGGTCTACCTTTGAGCCTAATTTAAGTTCTAGCGGAAAGGTCATCGATATAACTCCTGGAGTTAGTGCCATGTGGACCTTTGTAGTAAAGAAATTGACCTTCTCAAAGAAGCAGTTGGTGCCACTGGTTTTAATTCCCAAGAAGGAGAACCTGGAATTGATTGTTGGGCTTGTGAAGGAAGGGAAACTTAAAACAGTAATTGACTCCAAATTTCCTCTGAGCAAGGCTGATGATGCTTGGATCAGGAGTATTGATGGACATGCGACCGGAAAGATTGTTGTGGAGCCACTACTTTAGATCCTAATTACTAGGAATGCCATTACTTTTTAACATTACTTTTTGTACCACATTCGGCTATCGAATACATGTATCATAAGCCGTTAGATACATGAAAGTGGTGAAACTTTAAGATACAAAGGAAGAAATTGATGAAGAAGATGAAGTTTACGATACTCAAATATATGTGGTGAAAATCACAATATTGTTGAGACATTCGGGTTCATTGATCTTTGAAATCGAATACGAAAATTATAGAAGGAAATAAGCTACACCCTTTAATTCAAAGTAATAAATTGTGTATCTCGACTTTCAAAATCGATAAATACATGTATCTCGCAAGTAATGATACATGTATCTCAAGGACGAAATATTCAAAACTTTAAGATACAAAGAAAGGAATTGATAAAGAATATGACGTTTACATTACTCAGATACATGAAAGTGGTGAAAATCGAGATACATTAGAATACGAGTGAAAAAAGGAACAAAATGTAAATGACTGTCTTGGAAGGAATATGGTAAGTCCTGAAACAATATCATTTGGCATGCATTGTTTCTGCCATAGTTCTCAATTCCTGAGAGATTTCTGAGAATGATGGCCTCTCAGATCAGGGCCCTAACAACTCTCCATTAGCGTTTTTCATTCAAGATCACACCATGGTGATTATCAAGAATTAGTTATGAATTTAGAACATGCAAACATGTATTGAGTTGGTCAAGGAAGAAATGGAAAAGGTGAATATGCGTGAATTACATAGGGGGTGGGGGTTAGATACATATGGGTAATGGGATTGGGGAGGAAAACAACTGGTGTGATGTGAGAGAAAAAATTTTTGAATTGTTAGTATCTCATTAGTTTAGGAGATTAAACTTTAAGATAATTATTCATTGTCATATTTAAGGAATTTGTGTATCAGATTTAACTTTTTGAAATACATGGTATAATTATTTAAAAGTGGTATTACATGTACAAAAAAAAAATTAAACTAAAGATAAAATATGTATATATGGTAGGGAAGTTTGTCATATTAAGTAGTTTTTCCTTAAAATAAATTCTAAAGTTAATTTTTAAAAACCATTATATCTCATTCTCTAGACCTTATATAGACTCGATCCAATTGACCAAAAAATATCACTCCTCTTTTACTCTGTCATGACAGATTTGAGTCGGATTTGAATAAAATAGTAATTGAGTTTTTTTTTAGTCAGGTCAAACAAAAGTAAAAAAAATAGGTCAAGCAACTTTTTAAAGTCACACGATATTTTTGAAATTAGTAATTAATTTCTTTTTAATTCAATTTGCTAACAAAAACGTAAATATACACATGAAATTATGCATACACCATATATTAGGCAATATTTAATCCATACTTTTCAATCATTAAGTCCAGAATTACCCCTCCATTGAACTCTCTGGTTATGAGGAAGATACCCAAATCTCTGAGCTTCGTAAAACAGAAAATTTTTACTCAAAATTTCACCATAATTTTGCCCAGCTAATGCTACTGGAAGAACAAGAATAATCACAAAAATTGAAAGGTTTTTCAATGAACTGAGAGAAGAATTTTGAATCTCAAAAAAATTTCGACAATTTTAAATAAAAATTGAGAGGATCCTCAAACAATTGTATAGGGATAAAACAACACTTGTCTCTGTAATGTATCGAATCTTCAGATTTTCCTCAACTCATCGATCTTCAAGCTACAATGATTGATTCAACTCATCTCTCTTTCTCATATTCTTGAATCTCTCAATAAAATAGAGATATTCATGATGTATCAACTCAATTTTTCAATGATTTTGAATCGAAATTGAAAAGATTTTTGACAATTTGGGAGAAGAAATTTGAAATTTGAATTTTTTGAAGTTGTTTTCCTTTGGGAGAGATTGATTAGCAGTGACAATAAAGTAATTGCGTAATTTATGAATTTGATATTTAATTTTACATTTCTTTTCCCTTTTAAGCGCAACAGAAAAGATTTTGTTCCCTTTTTTAGCGCAACAGAATGATTCTTCTTGTATCAGAATTAATGTATCCGGATGGTGACTTATGTATCTGAAAGGTACAAATTTTAAGGGATTATTGTAATTAGAATAAAAGTAGGGATATGATGTAATTTACTCCTTACACTATGTGATTTATGTAAGTTATCAATTTTTTAACCATAACAAAGTTAGGGATACAAACCCCTTTTCCCTTAAAAATAAAATAAAAGTTATTATCTAGAAGCAACGATTAGTGAAAATCTGAGATGGGTTCATTTTTGTACCATATGCTTATGTAAAGGTTGTGAAGCCACTTTTTTAGTGAAGGTACACAATAAGAGGCGAATCTAGGATTTCAAGAAAACGGGTGCACCATTATTTTAAAGAAAAGATCAAACAATTTATAATAACAATAACTAAGCGATTTTTTTTTTGTTAGTTTGTTTATTAAAAAGAGGAATCATAAAAAAAAATTACCTAAACCCTTGACAATGATGATTTTTCTAGATTCTTGACTTGAAGTTGGAGACTTGGAGTTCTTTGTGTGGAAAATAAAAGGCAAATTTAGAGAGAGAAGAAAAATATTTTTGGAACTTGAAAAGTGGGTGAGAAGGAAACTTTTGAAGTCTTTTGACTTTAGAACTTTAGAATTTTGCTTCTTTTTTTTTTGAAAAATGTGTATTTTTAGTTAATAAAAAAAATGAAGCAAATTGTGGCTGGTTTGGATCAAACTTGAAACTTTGATGTTAAAATCTGGCTGTCAAACTAGTGAACCATCCAACGACTTTGAGAATGGGTTCCACAAGTTATTATTTAATATTTCTTTAATAATTATACAAGTAATATATCTAGTTTAGTTGGATGACCACGGGTGATGAGTCCACGATTTGGACTCTTTTAGGGCTTTATTTTGATAGATTTAGCGTCCTCAAATGCATATTTTGTCTCAAGAACTGATGAAAACCCTTGAGTTTCAGGTATTTGAAGTTAGAGACTAAGCATGGACACTATTAGGCAGAAAGGAACAAGACAGCTGAAAAGAACGAAGAACAAACAGCTTGAGGATTGCCTAAGCCATTAGGCGAGTCGCCAAAGGGCTATGGTCTCGCCTAATGTTCCAGTGTGCCAAGCTCTGAAGGAGAAAATCGAGTCGGCGAGTTACCGAACGATTCCATGATGCAGTACTCCATCGCCCGATGTTACAGAACTTGAAGTTGCTGAAGGACAATGCAGAAAGGCGATGAACTAGACCAAAGGGCGGATCGCCGAATGGATCGGCGATCCCGACTAACTCCGCCGAGTGATCCTTCGCAGCACACTTTTTGACAATTATAAATACCTGTTTGAATATTTAGTTTAGTATCAAGTTTTACATTTCAGAACTCAATTTTAGAATTATTCAGTTTTAGAACTTAGTTTTTGGAGACAATTTTCCTTAGCTTTGAAGAGTTGAAGATTTCCATTTTCTAAGCAATTAGAAGTGGGTATTGAAGATTCTTCATCCTTGACGTGTGTAAAGAGAATATTTATCATACCCATTTGATGGAAACACTTTTCGGTATCGATTTCTATCTCTTTACTATGTCTGACTAAAACCCCAATTCTTGGGATGTGATTATGTGAATATGGGTTGAATTTACTGTTGGGTATTGCTTATAGATAGTTATTTTGCTATTTAAAGGTGATTTCTTTCAGTAGTTGTGTTTGAATTTAATGGGGTTGTAGTTGCAAATACAATTTTATCTTTGTGTTTTTGACTTGCTCGAGAGAGGTTGTAAAACCAAAATTACTGAATCGATAGTCTATGGTTATTGGATTGTCGTAGGTTCAGCTCGAGAGAGTGAATCCTAAACCCTCTCCCACACATTCAGCTCGAGAGAGTGAATGGACTAAGGCGAAGGCTGCGCTTCATTGCCGCTTATCGGTGTTCGAGAGAAATCGATTTGATTCGGGGTAAATTATTCGAGAGAAAATTTACCCCCACTAAAGTCTAGCCTAGTTACCAATTTACAACAATTTACTATAAATAGCATTTACCGGTTGTTTATTTTAGTCCATATTCCTATCACATCCCAAAAATCCCATCTCCATATTTGCATTTTCGTTTTAGTTGTCATTTTAGTTGATAATTGCTTACAAAACCCCCTTTGATAATTGACACTTGTGTCACCTTTTAATTTATTATGTTTTTCTTCGTAAATGTCTATAGCTATGATTAACTTGAACACATTTTTTCTTTTCTATTGATTCTCACTTACAAACCGCTCCCTTGGGACTCGACCCCAATTCACTAGTTGGGTTATATTACTATTAAACGACCGTGGACATTTAGTATTGGATGAAGCACCCGGATACGTCAAATCAACGGGTTCTGGTGACCCAATTTTTATACATAAATTCGCCCTTGTACACAATAGAGTTGTTTGAAGGTTCACTTTAGCCAATTGCATCACTTCATTTAGATGAGATTTATAGAAATACCCCTCTGTCAACTAGCAGACATATTGACAGAGAGGAGCCGGCCTTATTGACATTTATTAGATAGTACTAGATATTAGGTGCCCGCGCCAGTGCGGGCCCAATGTATGTTAATTTTTTATCTCAATTTATGTGACACAAATGGAATTTGAAGAGTCAACTAAATTTTTTGTATGTGTTCTTTTAAAAAATATTTTAAATTGTTAATTTATGTGATTTATAGTACCTTTTATGTCATTTTCAAATAATGCATGTTAGACCTTCTGTTCCATTTTATGTGACACAAGTGATTTTAAGAAAGTCAACGAAATTTCTTGTATGATTCTCATATATTTTTAGTTTTCATTTTTACCGTAATTTATAGTACTTTTTATGTTATTTTAAAACAATATATTTAACTTTGTTTCGATATGGAATTAGAGAGTCAACCAAATTTCATATGAATTTTAACTGCGTTTTTTTAAAAAAATATCTTAAATTGTTACATTGTTATTTTAAGCTCTTTTTTATGTAATTTTTGAAATATATAACAAATTAAAAATTAAAACGAAGAAAGTACTAAAGTTTTCAAATCATTTTATTTCTATATTAAAATGTTTAAATCTTTAAAACCCCACATATATGCACCAACTAATATAAGGAAGACAAAAGAATTCTTTATATATATATATATATATATATATGAAAGCTCTTTCTAATAATACCACATATATATTTCATTTTTAAAATATGACTCACTCCATTTTGATTTATATGAATTGTTTTTTTAATTTCATTTAAAAAGAAAATAACCTCTAAATTTTTTTTTTATATAGCATATTTAAGATCATAAAATTAAAAAATATTTTGATATATTTTAAATTTAAGACCACAAAATTTAAATATACATATAAATTTTAATTTTAATTGACTTCCACCATATTATACTTGATATATAACTATTAAGAGCTAACTGTAATTATAATTTATTTATTTTGGTATAACAGAGACGTATCATTTCCGAACATATCCACTGGGATAAGAGGAGGGTGAGACTGTAATTAATGGGAAAAACTGTTTTTAAAATTTAAATTTACAAAAAGAATAAATAAATTTGGAATTTCGTATGCAAATTATGTGGGTTATTAATATTTTGTATTGGGTGATGCGTTGAGTAATAGTTTGTTGGAGTTTTAATTTTCTGTTAGACAAGATGCATTAAAGCGAAGAACAAGTGGTTACGGAAGTAGTATTTACTCATCTTGGGTTTTGCAGTTTTTTTAAGAGAATAGTTGGCCGCGTGTGCCCCGATCGACACACTCTATGGTACCGCCGATTCACATGTATATATTCCAATTTCAGAGAGACTTGAAATTGGTGAATTTGATATGGCTGGGAAGGTTATGCGTGCTGTTCAATACGACTCTTATGGCGGCAGAGCTGTTGCCTTGAAGGTATTTTCACCTTCCAAACAACTTGCATTCTATTCTCTTTTTTTTTTTTTTCATACTAGTCATGGAAACGTGCATTGCACGTTTGTCCCCTAATTAACATTAGAAAAGTTAATTTATATCGGTAAGTTTAAAGCTAAGTCCTTTTGTATGTAAGTTTGACATAAGAATATAACTATACACAAAATATAGCATGTAAATCTTGTGTCAGATGTTGGAGGTTTGATGTTTTTAAAAATAAATCTTTTATTATATCAGAGGAATTAATATATTTTAATTACTAAACATAAGTTTTAATAATCAAAAAAGAAATTGGCGATAAAAAAATACGTATAAAGAAAAATATTACAAAATATCTAGGCGCTGTACCATCAAATTTATAGAAAAAATTACAAGTTCAAATGGAAAACAAAGAAAAGTAAATAAAGACATGACATCCATAATAAAAGACATCACATTAAAATATATAGACAAAAATACTGTTATACTAATTGAATTACATTTTGTTAGAAGTCGACTTGCTATAGACAAAATGTATCATATGTATAAAAAACTATAATCATAAAAAGTAAAAATAAAAAGATAAACAGAAAATAAAGCATGAATATGTTAAGAATAAAGATACACTATATTTCTTGAACTATATATTAAAGGATCTATATATAAAAAAAATAAAATATGAATTCTAATACAATAAAATTCAATGTAACATTTAGTCATCTTTTTTACTTTACATTATTTTTTATTTTATTTTTACTTTTGCACTAATTTTTGTACCTCTATGTAATAATTAAGTACATGAATTTTCTAAATATTTGAGATTACATATAAAAAGGAAAAGTACAAACATGTTGTTTTAAAAAGATAAATGATTATCAAACAACGAAGAAGACATAATTATTACTCCATGTTTATCAAATACTTACTCTTTTACGGGTCTAGTACTTGTGAAAATATACTATAGGATTTTACATGCTTACCCTCAAAACAATTAATAATAAATATAAATTGTGATTAGCTTTATTATATTTTATATCCTAAAGATAGAAGAAATGAAGAATACAAAAATATAGTAATCAATTACGAAGTTATATTTAAAAACTCAAAAAGATGGAGATATGAAAAATAAAAATTCACTTACAACTTCATATTGAAGAATATTCATCTTGTAACTATGATAATTTACATATTTCTCGACAAAAAGAAGATGAATATGCATGAAAAATTAAAGAATACTACTAATAAATAAAAAGTAAAAATTCTTATAATTACAAATTGGTAATGAAAAATTTACAACTGATGTAGACTAATCTAATGTAGAATGCAAGATGATCAAAAACTTGAATAAAAGAAGGAAATATAAATAATGTGGTGTGAGTGTCTTTGATATACTCTTCATTACCCCCACTTATCTTACAAATTAAAATTGAAAGGTTATTAGACTCTTCATTACCCACATTTAATTAGTACATGAATATGTGATTGCATTAAGATCTTGTTTGATGCATGAATTAAAATATAACTATTAATTAATATATTTAATTAATTAAATAGATATTATTTTAGGGATAAAATAAGAGCAAAATAGTAATCTAACTTTGAGGTTAAGAGCTGAGTAACTATGTTTATGGAGTAGTATTATATTGTGTCCACGTCTTTGCTTCTTGCAGCATGTGGAAGTTCCTGTGCCTACTCCAAAGAGGGATGAGGTGTTGGTAAAAGTGGAGGCTACAAGCATAAATCCTATTGACTGGAAAATTCAAAAGGGCATGCTTCGTCCGCTTCTTCCTACCAAGTTTCCTTTAATTCCTAGTAAGTTAAATCATCTAAACATTTTGTTAGAATTTCCTTGCACTGTGTTTTTAGTGCTTTTTGGTTTTGGTTGCAGTCGCCTTGTTTTCCAAATGTTTTTTGCATCAGCCTTAGTATGAGGATCTCTGTCTAAGTATTCTCAAACACTTTATTATATGTATACTACCTATCAAAAATCATCTCCTTTGACAAGTTAATATAGTTTTTTCTTTTCTAGACCCTAGCTGATATGATAGAGAATTTCTTTTGGGTGGGACATGGATGTTCCTACATTGAGAAACTATTTCATACCAAAAAAATGAAAATACTTGGCTGTTAGGTTATTGCAAGGCTGACATTACATACACATGATCTAGAATCCCTATTAACTCAGGGAACTAATAGAGTTGGTAGAAAGGAACATATATACTAATATAGATTTGTAAACTGGAATAGAAGACGTCATCAGTGTAAAGTATCTGAGAGATCGAGAATGATAACATAAACACTTTGTACGTACTATGCATTTTATTCTTGTTGGTTTACGGTTCTCTAAACTGATTTTGGTTGTAACAGCTATCGACATGGGAGGAGAGGTTGTAGACAGAGGCGTATGCAGGAGGGGGTCACCGGGTTCACGTGAACCCATGCTCCCCTCCTGAAATCATATATAGTAGTGTTATATTTTTAAATTTTTTGTTAAATATAGGTGTGTGAACCCACAATCGAAGTATCATATAATGGAATGATGATTGGGTGCACCTCTCAGTGACATTAGAAATTTGAATTTTATGTTTATCTTGTACTATTTTTCTTTTTAAAATTAGGTAACACCTCTCTAAGTTATTATTGGTAGCATTTTTGGCGTTATAATTAATTAATCATTTCAATTTTGGACCTATAGATTTAAAATTTTAATTGTTTTCAACGATACGAAACTAAGTGTCAAGCCAATTAGATTCACCTTTTCACAATAGTGCACTGTGCACCCATCATTCCAAAATCCTGGATACGCCTCTGGTTGTAGAGGTGGGATCTAACGTAAAAAGTTTCAATGCCGGTGACAAGGTTGTGGATATGCTCAATGTCCTGGTTGGTCCAATATTTTCGCTACATCTCTCTTACATTTTGGAGCTGCTTAGGGTTTACATTCGTTTTCCATGGATGTTGTTTTTATTTCTTATTATCTGCTGCCTGTATGGTTCAATGATACTTGTTTTTCTTTTGGGGGCCGAGTCCCCTCATCAAACTTGAATCCTAACCATTTGGTTGGAAGTGGAGTCTTAACTTTGTAGTATTCCTCATTAGCTAAATCATTTTACTTTGAATAGTAATATGGTGTTCTATCCTTTATGATTGATGGATCTTCATGAGCTTTGTTTCAGAATGGAGGTGGATTGGCTGAATATGTGGTGGCTAATGAGAGTTTGACTGTTCCAAGACCCGCCGAAGTATCAGCTGCAGAAGGTGCAGGTCTTACAGCTCTTCAGGCCCTTATCAATCCTGCAGAGGTTAAGCTCGATGGAACTGGACCTCGAAAGAGCATTCTAGCTAGTTACGGCTGCCTCGGGTGGTATGGGTCACTATGCTGTTCAATTGGTAAAACTTGGTAACACCCATGTTACTGCCACGTGTGGAGCCCGTAACATTGATTTTGTGAAGAGCTTAGGAGCAGACGATGTTCTTGATTACAAAACCCCAGAGGGAGCAGCTCTTAAGAGTCCATCAGGCCAAAAATATGATGCAGTGATTCACTGCACAACAGGCATCCCTTGGTCTACCTTTGAGCCTAATTTAAGTTCGAGCGGAAAGGTCATTGATATAACTCCTGGAGTTAGTGCCATGTGGACCTTTGCAATAAAGAAATTGACCTTCTCAAAGAAGCAGTTTGTGCCACTGCATTTAATTCCCAAGAAGGAGAACCTGGAATTGATTGTTGGGCTTCTGAAGGAAGGGAAACTTAAAACAGTGATTGACTCCAAATTTCCTCTGAGCAAGGCTGAAGATGCTTGGAGCAAGAGTAGTGATGGACATGCAACCGGTCATTTACCTTGTATGCTTGTGCAGTTTGTCATCTGGCTTTTCCCTTCCATAATGTCGTTCGATTTTGTTTTCTTTGCATTTTGACAGTTATTCAGTTGAATTGAAATTATTGATCTCTAAGGGAAAAAGGACAAATATACCCCCGAACTATCGTAAATGGTATTCAGATACTCTCCGTTATACAACCTCAGCCTCTCCTCTACTAAATAATAAGCCTCAGATGGGAGGGGTGTTCTATATGTTTAAAAGGTACCAAGCTCCAGAGATGTTGTTGTTGGGATATATACTATTTAACCATATGTTAAGAAATAATAGTTAATATAGAATAAATATTTGCTCAATTTTAATAGATCATATATTCATTTATGGTGTCTATTTACTTATATAGTAGATGATTTAGTGGGTAGAGTTTTAGCTTATACACAGAAGATTAAATCATCAGTTCTTATAAGTATAAAGTTTTTTGTTCACAATCTAGGATGGAAATTGGACATGCCATCGGTACGATTGTAGCACAAGATTATATGTAATTTATCTTGATTATGGGAATGGTATATTTCCAACTTCTTGTGCTAGTACATTTTTTATGTATTGAACGAGTCCAAGTAGAGATAGATGTTTTAGACTGGCTGACAAAAACATATTTTCTAAACTATTAAATGTAGTTATATTCTTAATCCTGATATAACTATTATGATCTGTATATATTAATTATCGTTTTGATTCATTAAAAGGTGAGATTCTGAGATGAGTAAATATGTCTGGTAGATTGGATGATAATAATAATAAGTTAGTTGATGAAATTAATGTCTCGTTATAGAGATTGATTGATATGCCTTTTTGAGAAACTTATAAGTTTTTATCGTGTCAAACCTTGCAAGTGGATTTATGAATCCGACACATGAAATAAGTTAAGTAGTGCTCTAAAGGAAATTAATCATTGAATTAAATTCGTCAGTAATTTAATTTATTGATTAGTATCTGTAATCTTAACATGGGGAATTACATAAGTGTTTAATGGGAAATTTTGAAATATAAATAGAAGAGTGCAATTACGAATTTCTAGTGGAATGATTTGTAATTTATTAGGGTAAGAATAATTCAAATTAATTATTTGGAATTATTTTCATAATAGGAAGCCTTGGTAATTAATTATTGGTCCCTATAGTGCCCATATTTAACTAGAATTCAGAATCCTATTTCTAAAGGAAAAAGGGGAGACATGCGTTAGTTTTCTAATAAAAAGAAAACTAGCGTGTATTTTTCGATTGATGAAAAATAACGTGTGTTTTGGTTCTCCTCTTTGGACTGGGAAGAAATCTCTATAATTAGGGATTCTTCTAACCCTAGAAAGATGATTAGTTTTCTATATGATACTTGCACGCCCAAGTATTGAGAGAGTTCGGATGTGAACTTGGGATCATTGTAGAAGATCATAGTTGCTCTCTATCTTGTGATTCACTTGAAGGTCTGTCTAATTCATTTGAAAGTATCTGCTCACGCTACAAGAGGTATTTATCGAGTCAAATTTCAGCAAGTTTATATGTTCTAGAATTATTATGTGTTCTAGCATAAACGGTATTGGTTATCTATTATTCATGTAAGCAGTAAAATTTTTAGTATTCTTCCGTTGTGCATATAGTTTTCCAACAATTGGTATCAAGAGCCACGCTTGCATCTAAATAGATAATCTAATTTAGTTATACATATGATCGATTATGTATATGACATCGGTTTTTATTCGTTTATAACGTATAAGAAGAAAACAAGTTTAATATGATTCATGTCCTCTAGTGGGGTGGTAATTCTGTTTGCCACCAAGGGAGGTCTTGATTTGTGTTTTGGTAACTTGAATTTGTTTGAATTGTGCCTGTAAACACAGTGACCCTGAATAGTTATTACGGGCCGATTAGTCCACTGATTTATTCTCTTAGGCTACAAAATTGACTTTATTGTCATTTTTTTTTATGAGCGACAAATCTAATGCAATAATCGTTCCTTCATGGTTTAATTATATGGGCATTATTATTTCGTTACTCACGTTATATAATATTGTATAATTAAGAATTTATGATTAGTAAATATTAACTGTTAAAGTGGATTATTTATTTGGAATCATTGAAAAGTCTTAAAGTATTATATATACGAAATTATGTCAATACATGAATTGAGAATTATGATTAATAAATAGGATTTACAAAAGTGATTTATTTATTTGAGTCATTATAATATCCTCAATGTTTCATGTATAAATTGTCCTAAGTGAATACTAGTGGTAAACTTGAATGGAGATTTACCTTTAGATACTAGTGAAAATTAATTCATGAGAAGAGATATTAAAGGTTTTCACCGGTCTAAAAAGGGAGAAATATAATATCTTGGATTCTCAAGTGTATTAATCGAAAGGACAATTTGCGATAAAAAGATGATGTGTGTTTTAGCCAATGGAAGGACACAATATATGCCTTGTGCTCATGAGATAATTATTAAAAGAGAATGAAAATTTGAATCATGTTATTTTAATCTTTAACTGTGCCTAAAACGGTTATTTTTCAAACTTGATCATAGTATAGGTGGTCATGAATTTTATAATCTCCGATTGACTTGAAGTTTGATGGTTCTATCGAAAATTGTTTAGATGAGTTTAGGTAGTTTGTCGGATTAAAATTTGATTTGAATATATGATAAAATCATTCTTTTATGTCAATTATGTTTATGTTAAATTTGGAACATGATTGCACAGGGTTATCTAACATGAATTGATATAAGAATGAAGGTCATATTGTTTTAGTTCCTAAAGATACTTAAACTACTTGAATTTGAATTTGGTCATAGCTTTGAAAATAAAGATTCTTTATAGGTTCCAATTGACCTGAAATTTGGTAAGTCCATTGAAAACGGCCTAGTAAGAAATACTCATTGTTATGTGGTTATGATTCTTTGAGATCGTTAAAATGATTTTAAAGTTGTTCTTTGAAATTAAAATGTGATTTAGTATGAATGACATCCTTTATATTGGTTTTATTTATGTTATATATGGTACATGATTACACATGATGAATTAACATAAATTGATATACATAAAGGATGTAGATCTGATTATTTTTCCTCAAGTTGTTTGAATCTGAATTTGATCAAAGCTTTGGAGATAAATATTATTTTTGAACTCCGATTGATCTGAAATTCGATAGGTTCATCAGAAACGATCGAATTTAAAATACTCATTGTTATGAAGTGAGTTGGCAATTTGAGGTCGTTTAGATAATGATTTTAGATATTTCTTGTATGTTGAAAATTAATTTTAATGAAAAATTACTCGACTATGATATAGTGGTGATAGACATTGTTCTCTATGGCATTCATGACTAAATTTTAGTGAAGTATTAAGTTCATGTGTTGGCTTAGACCTTCCTCCATATCGGATGAAATTAATACAAGTCATTAAAATTTAATCTCTAGTTTTGATTATCTATATTGGCTCTCCCTATCTGGGTAATATATGATTGGATCAACGGATCTAGGGATAATGATATTCACTTGACCTAATTTAACATATACTCTCCATCTGAGTTGGCTTTTGTTTTACATTTATTAGAGTGAATATCTGACACCAGATATGTATATTGTATGAGTAGCTATTTTTTCATTAAATTTATTGTTCAAGATGCATGGATATCTATGTGGTGTGTTTTGAATTTTAGTATTCAATGCATTCATAAACATGCTGATTTTTGGAAAATAGTATTCAGATAAAGTAAATAGTTTTTAGAATTTTGTTCTTTGTTTTTGATTTGTGAGTCTATTTCACAAATGATGATATGTGTCATGCGATAAGAATTTTTGAACGGGAAAATTTTAAATTCTATTTTGACCATATAACGTTTTAACCAAATTGATCATAGTTTTGAAATTCGAAAAAAAAAGAACTCTGATTGATCTGAAATTTGGTAGATTCATAAGAACGACCTAGTAATTTTTTTTTTTTTTTTGGGATCGTTATATGAGTTTTTGGTCATATTTGATTAAATAGTAGTGAAGTAATAGTTTTATGTGCTGGCTTAGACCTTCCTCCCTATCGGATGAAATTGATACAAGTCACTATGTATTTAATCGTCTAGTTTTGATAATTTGCATTAACTCTCCTAAACTGAGTAATATAGGATTGGATCAATGTAACTAGAGGATTTTCACTTGACTTAAACTAACAGTAGACTCTCCATCTGAGTTAGGTCTGCATAAGTTTATGGAGTGAATAATCGATCATTGTACATGTGTATTGCATGATTAGTTCTCCAATCCCATCGATTGGCTATTCGAGATGCATGGCTATATATGTATAAATGAGCCCTGAATTTTGTTATTTGGGATTATTCGAAATATTATGATCTATTTAAAGTATTATATATCATATTCTCAATAGACTTTACGCACCCACTTAGTACTACTTAAGCTTTTCTTTTGGTAGAGATAAAGATATTAATTCAAAGAATACATTGTACATGTACCTTATGTTAGAAGGAATTATTTTTAGTTTCTAACTAGATAAGAGATGAGTGTTTAATATATTTGTTTGTAACTCTCCTATAATTATGAATATTTTATTTCTTGTGGTATATTGATGCGTGATTCTTTTAGTAGTATTATCTCTCATGAATTGAATTATATTAATTTGTCTCATAAGAAAAAATATCTTTTAAATTGAATGAAACTTATCTGTACATTAGTGTCTAAGTCATTTATTCTGAATAGAATTTCGAGGTTGGTTAATGGATGAACATAACGGTTCATTGAAAGTGAAGTCACTACCAACATGTGAGTCTTGTTTAGAAGAAAAAATGACTGAGAGACCTTTCCTCTTAAAAAGAAAAAAGACGTAGTGATAAGTCATAATTAATCTATTCTGATTTGTGTAGTAAATGAGCATTTAGGCAAGAGGTGAATTTGAGTTTTCTGAGTTTTCAAGAAGGTTACTCATGATTGGAATATATTTTTTGATGTTTTGTAAGTCTAAGTGTCTTGATAAACTCAAAATATTTAAGACACATGAAAATAGCATCATGAAAAATATATAAAATCACTGCAAT